AAACCCAATCCCGATGGCAAACACCGGGGGGGGCGGCTTGTTTTACAACGTCGTCGCTAAGCGACGAGAACAACCCCGATGGCAAACACGGGGGGGGGAGGGGGGGGCGTGTAGCGAAGTCGAGACTGGAATTGACGAAAAATTCGGATGAAAAACGGAGCCCATCGCTGTGGCTCAGAGTCTTGGCGACCTTTTGTCCATGACTATCTTCCTCTTACATATCCCGGGCGGGTGCGTCAAAAGTACACCGTACGAACGGTGTAGCCTGGTGCCCAGAAAACATGGAACGAGAGCCCACACACACACTGTCTGCAAATGAGCGCAGGTGTTGTTGTCGCGGAAAAGGGGAATGATCAACATTTCTAGCGGTAGAGCTCAACGTGTGCACAGCAGGAAGGAATACGGCGACGAGCCCAAGGAAAACAACAGACCTGAGAAGTCTGCTCGACTCCTAAGCTGTGGCGGGCAGGGTGGTGAACTTCAGCTATGTTTGGGGCCGCTTCCCAGGGTGCTACCGCAAGTAGGCCGTGCTGCTTGCTGTGACGGTGGCACTACAACTACCAACTGGTGTGATGGTGCAGAGCAGGCGCACATACGCCAAGAGGCACTGGCTTGCGAAAGCTTAAGCGTTCCGTTCGCTTTGACCGGCAAGGTCAAGACAATAGTGTTTTTGTCGTTCTTGTTGCTTCGTGTTGTCTGCTCGGAGTCACCTTGCGTCATGATGTATTCACGTTCAAGATGGCGCTTCACGTTCATCATCATGGCGTATGATGAGTCACCAACACACGACGACCCTTGCTTTTTCCGCAATCGGATCGGTCAGTTGGGCAAGGTAACCGGGGTCGTGATCCCGCTGTCGATGCTCGTCGGTCTGTGCGAGGAGTGCGCGTTCCGAGGGTTCCTGCCCCTCATGCTCGCGGCCAAGACAGGGCTACCGATGGCCGCCATCGTCGCCCTCTCCGCGACAATCTTCGGGGTGAGCTGGGTTTTTGTTGCTTGCTCGTGTTCCGGTCGCAAATAAAGAAACGATATAAAGATTGCTTGGGCTCCTTCATGGTTCACCCAAACCGCGATATTTTGGTGCGCCCAAATCGCGAATGGAAGGGGGCGGCGCTGAGCAGCGAGGCAACGCGAACGGCGATTTT